GCCTGTTCGGACGAATAAAGTTTTACCGGGTACTTCCAACTGAGAGGCCACGTGTGGCAATTAAATTTTGCCTCTAGCCATAAAAAATTCGAAAAACATCTGTCCCAAAAAACCCACCTTTTTTAGTGGATATTTCAATTACACGCTGCCTCCAGACATAATTTATCACATTAACAAGGCCCATGTCACAAGTTGACCTTTAGATTTGTATAGGCCTACAACCGGGCCAGAGTAAAATTCCTATCGTTCAATCCCGTTCCCATTTTCTCATAATATTTTAACTCCTTATGGAAATAACTTAAATAATATTTAAAAGCATTGAAAAAGTTTGACAGCAAGAACTTTAGCAAAACACGAGAAAATGACGTTTAAACTTACAACAAACAAAAGTTCTTTACGGTAGGCTAGCGAGCGTGCGACATTACATGCGTCACTGTATTCGTTCAAATGTTGTGTTTCTAATTCATAGTTTATTATTTGTGAAGTGAGTATTACTGCTTTAAAAACAAATTTAAAAATTATAATTAGATATAATTTGTATTTCAATAACAGAAAAACAATTTTATAGCTACTTTTAAATTAGTTTTGTTACTACAACTTTCGTGTTGTTTTACAGTCAACAACAACATGGCGTCGTCTAGCGGCGGACATGTGCCGAGTGTAATAAAGTTTTGTTATCACGGTAAAGAAATCACTTGAAGCTTCAAATGAAGTTACAAAGTCTAGATTATGTATACCTGTAGTTTTAAACAGAACAACAAAAATATTGCTAAAAAACCTTTGTCTGACCTTGGTTGAAGGAAAGGCATACGAGAAGTTACTGGATTTACCGGTTCTTATTCTACTCGTCCGAACGGCCATCGGAATTAGCTCTGAGGCTATTATTAGATTACACATGTATTTGAGTTTACGTCCGAACACAGGCTTGTATATTATGCATGTAATTTCTTTTAGTTCATAGTGGTTTATGTTGAGGACACCTACTGAATGACTTTAACAGCTGGTATAAGGTGCAATACTGTAGTTGAATCATGTAGGAACAAGAACAGCCTGTCTTATTCATGATCTTATCAGTCAACCAAGAGAGTGGTACAAGCCCTTGGGAACTAATGGAAATGTTTATTACCAATGACTTGTCTGTACTTGTGCTTTATGGTATAGTAGTGTAGAGATCAAACAAAACAACTCTGCTGATCAATGGTGTTATTAACTATAAATCTTTAATCATTTACACTTAGGTAACAATCGAAACAGAAGAAAGGTACTATAATAATAATAATAATAATAACAATAATAATAATAATAATAATAATAATAATAATAATAATAATAATAATAATAATAATAATTATACAATGCACTGTAGATGTTGAGTCATACTTGGATTCACCAATTTCTGGTTGTGCAAAATGTAAATGTAAAAAAAAATGACTGGATCTTTGACTTACAGTTTACATGACTCATTCCATTCAGTCAATCTTTTTTTTTTTCAACCTTGTGGAATTTTAGTAGGTGTACTGTATCTTAAAACCAGAGCCTTTAAGTATAAAGCGATTACTTTGGATACAGTATTTATTATACCAGTATTCTATGGAGCTTAAAGATGTACTGTCCCTTGAAATTGACCAAAATTATAAAAAATAATTGTTAAATTAACTTGCTCATTTTGCAGTAACATACAAATTATAAACTTGAGCGTAGAAATTATTAAATTAAAAAAATGTTCCCTGATTTTTTAACTGGATAATTATAATAAATATAATAAAACACTCCCAGTGACTGGAAGTGTTTCTATCATTTTTTCGCTGTAAAATGATGGTTTTTATGGGTAAGCATTTTTTAAATACACTATTTTCTAGTTGATAACGTTTATGTTACTTCAAAATAGGCAAGTAATTTTCAAAAATGATTTTTTTTTTTGTTTTTTGCAAGGGACAGTACATCTTTAACCAGTTCAGTTTAATCATTATAGGCCTACTTCCTACTGTAACCTTGAAGCAACCTTCAACAAAGGTTCTGGAAATCTATTAGAAAAATACTTGAGAAAACTACAAATACAAAGAAAAAATGTTTCGTAATCCCTTCAAATGGAAATAGCTTAGGTGGCTCTTTTTTTAAGTTATTTTTATGAGGTAAAACACACAAACTCCAGCAATAATCAAATCATCCTGATGAACTCCACGTTAATCTACGATTGGCATACTGTAGATCTTCTATACAGTATAACTGATATGGTGAACAAGTTCCTAAAATCTGGGTAGGAAATATTTTGTTCTATGACCTACAACACTGTGGGATTTTAAGATTTCTGCTGGTTGTTTTTCTAGGTATTTTGCCATTGTGTTACTGTTACCATATACTATGCAGGGATGTCACCAGCTTTTTGAAGTGCCGGTCGGCGATCATACCACGTTTTCCCGGGGGTCGGGGGTGCCATCCCACCCGCCTCCCCCTCCCGTTTTCCCGGGGTGGGGGGTTCGCCGTATTCGTGAAAGCTCTTAAAAACCAAAAGGCCTAAGTAAGTCGAGCAGGCCTTGGCCCAAGGCTAGCTGACGGGATTTTTTTTTTGCTAGGCCAGGCCCGGGTAGGCCTAGGCCAGAATTTGAGGAATGCAACAAAACAGATGAAGATGAGACTTACTGTAGGCCTAATTAAATTCAATAGTTGACATGCTTTGTTTTAGATTAAAAAATAATAATGAACAAATCCCGGCGACAAAGCGTCGATCCGACTGTACCAAGCCGCATTGTTTGCCGTAATTTCACATGTTTGACGATTACCACGATGAATGTGTATTTCACTGATTCATGTGCACTCATTTATTTATTTTTTGTCCATTTACACACATTATATATCAATTATAATTAAAAGCGAAAAACTAAAAATACAAAATGAAAAGAAAGTAAAGAAATAAAACATAAATCAGGTTTCGTAAATGTTTAATAATCTTCCTGCCCTGGACCATGATCTAATAATAAAACACTTGAATGGTCACGATTTCAACTTTAACCTTTGAATGTGTGCAGAGCAACCGTGTCATGCCGGCCCACGATGTTCGCTATGACTCAACTGGGCCTAGGCTGTTAAGTTAGCGATGAATAGCAGGGCAGTGCAGTATTTTGTTACAATTAACTTAACCACGGAAACATTTATTGTATTCTTAATGTCTTTATCAATTTAGCTTGTCTATTGTGTTTAGGTAAACTAATTATTTTGTTACAATTTGTAAACTGTTGAAATAATAGTGGTGGTTGGGACCTTGTAAATCCTGGTCGGAAATGTTGAGTGCTGGACAGGCCCGTCCACCGCCGACCAGCGTGGTGACATCCCTGACTATGAAGCCAGCCCAGAAAAACATGAATGTGGAAAAAGACAAGAACCATATTTTGTTTTTAATCTAGCAAAATAAAACTGGAAAATGTATAAATAAGAAAATGTCAGTTATTACTAATGATAACAACAACCAATGTGAGGAAGAGAACCAAAAAGATGACCATTAGTTAACATTTCAACCAGTTGAGACTGAGATTTCAGCAGTAAGAAAACAATTTATGGAAGGTTTTTAAGCCTAAAACATTCTACAGTAAACTGACCATCCTGAAATTAAGACTCGATTCCTTCTGTACAGCATGCAATAATAAACAAAAATAATATTCCCAAATTACATAATGAAAATAACTACACAGTCCAAATCCAACGATATAAGCTAACACTTAGATGACTTAAGCCACGGGTGGCCACTGAAGTTGTGTATATGGCAAATGGTAATCCCTCAATCCTACATGCGAAAATAAAAGCATTAGATGGTCCATCCTGCTTTTTACAAATTATGATGGAGGTAATTCTAGCATGACAGAGTACAACGGAATTTTGTATAGTACTAGTAGATCCTATTTAGTATGGATCAATTATGACTCATGATAACAAACTAAGCATTACAATTATACAGTACTGAATCTTTTGTTATTTGATCATAGTTGTCATCAAATTTAAATAAACAGTAACAATTATACAAAACAATACTATCTTTTTACTGTAGCTACTCTACACATCCATTTCCATTAAAAATAAATTACTTGCAGAAAGTCATAAAAAGTTTTAACAAAATTTAATTCACATTTAGCGTTAGATTCTGAAGTTGGTTTACTTTTATAAGATTCTGAAGTTGGTTTTAAGAATTTACTATAAATTATTTCAGGAATAGATCTAACAAACTATTTTTGTTAACCCTTAAATTATTATTTTCATTTTAAATTATATTACATGGGAACTGTAGCTTGGTAGTTAAGATAATTTTGGTCCTGGGTAAAATGTAAAATCTAACAAACATTTTTTTTTACTAAGTAAGATCTCTCTCTCTCTTTCCTTGTTAAACTGTATTTGAATACGTTTCAAAATTTGAATTTTGAAAAGACCAATACCTCCTTGAAAAGACCAAGGCTGAAGCAAGGCAATGGTCAATGGTCGGTCTCAAGGTAAATGGCAGTTGTTTTATGAACTGAATTATAAATAAAGAGAAAAGACCCAAAGTCCATAAATACTGAATGAATGTAGGCCCTAGTCTATATTTGCTATTTTGCTTGAATGGAATGAATAAGCACAGAATAATTGCCATAGAATCTGATTCCTTTTTTTTTTTTTTTTTTTTAGAATTTAACCTAGCCTTACTATTAGGCCTAGGGCCAGGGCTAAGCCTAACTAAACAATATGAATAAATGTTAGGATAGGCCTAGGCGTATATATATTTATAGAAAGAATATTGCAGTATTTAACAATAACATAGGCCTAGGCATATAGTAAGCTATTCCTCGAAAATGTCCACCGAACCACCTGTGTCACCAATGTTTCCTATCTATACAGCTAGGCCTAAGCCTCTAAGTCAAGGGCTCTCTTCCTCACTCCCCAAGTCCAACCCGTCTAGACTAGACTAGCCTAGCCCAACTATCAACGGTCGCTTTTTAGATATTTTACTACAAAATGATAAATGAGGGTATTCTTACCGTATCTGGTGTGCCTATCCCCGATAGGCTGGCAAAATCGGGTTATCTTCAAAGAATAATTCAAACTTGTACACCTTGACTTCGGTTTACCTTTCTTCGGTACATTCGATCGGTGTCTTTATCAACGGTTCGTTCGTGGATTTTTTTAGCCAGGTATAATAATACTGTAGTTACCTATAGGGGGCGATATTCATAAATTCTTTTATCTTTCTGTGGCCGGCTGGGGGTTGGGCCACGGACGAGTGATAAAAAGCTGTCTAAATGAGCATTTGTCATAACAGAACGCAAATTATTTTTAGAAGAAGAAGAAGAAGAAGAAGAAGAAGAAGAAGAAGAAGAAGAAGAAGAAGAAGAAGAAGAAGAAGAAGAAGAAGAAGAAGAAGAAGAAGAAGGAGGAGGAGAAGGAGAAGAAGAAGAAGAAGAAGAAGAAGAAGAAGAAGAAGAAGAAGAAGAAGAAGAAGAAGAAGAAGAAGAAGAAGAAGAAGAAGAAGAAGAAGAAGAAGAAGAAGAAGAAGAAGGAGAAGAAGAAGAAGAAGAAGAAGAAGAAGAAGAAGAAGAAGAAGAATTATTATTATTGTTATTGTGGTTGTTGTTGTGATGAAAAGTTAACACAAACGATATGGTGGCTAAACGAATATTACATGTAAATATTTTTTTTTATTTTGTTCCCCGACAAAAATTTATCGTCTTCCCCGACGGGGGGGGGGGGGGGGATATGGCTCACAGACGTACAATTAAAAATTTAGGGGTCTCCTTTAATTCGCCACTAGATATAATTTACAGTCGATGTCAGAGACACATTATGTTGTACTAATGTATCAACAAAGCCCTTTTGAGTCGGGGTGCTAGATCGAGGACCATATTGTTAGGGCCCCTAGGGTTTGGGGGCCATGCGGACCGCCGCATGAGAGCGAAAATATGCGTTACGCTACTGAACCATCCTTGGATAGAGACATCCTATTCAGGGGGATACGATATTCAGATAATCCCGTTTCATGGAGAACGGGCGGCACCTATTAGTCTTAAGGGGAAAAATAAAAATGGATGATAAAATACATGTATGTATGTTTGTCGGTCTGTCTTCTGTCTGTCTGTCTGCCTGCGTCTATGTAATCTCTCACTGTTGTCCTCTTGCGATGAATGTTCTCAGTGGCAAATTTACGGGGGGGGGGGCGCCCTCTCCTCCACCTTTTACAAAGTCAAAGATCTTATAAACACAAGATAGCGTTCTCCGCGATTTACGCGTAACAAATAGAAGCGTCGGTCAAGGTTCAAAAGTTTCCAATTTAGCAAGAGGGCGTCATTCATGCGCTATTACCG